TGTTGCTGGGAAAGGGTCCAGACAGCCCTGTCGGGAATAAGTGTTATAGAAAATAGATTGGTAATCTAGGGCCTTAAATTGCTCTGAACACCACTGCTAGCACGGCTGCTAACTTTGATTGCTTAAAGTTTTTATGGACTTTTGGTCATGCAGCTGTGACCATTTAGGCATTTGTCTGTACTGTGGAGCTGACATGTACGGTGCTTAAATAATGGTTTGAAATGATCACAGCAGTGTTACTTTAATTGAATTTAAGTTTATTTATCAAGTACAAACGTCATCTTAAGGCATTTCAAAGCTACAGCCAATTCAGTTATCTCATTCATTGTATTGCAATTTTAATATAATTTTGTGTCAAGGGGCACTGGAGCTTATCCCAGTTGTCATAACAGTCTGGGCAGGTCAGCACTTTATCACAGGAGCAAACAATGTAGTGAAATGACATTAACTCAATAAAAATGTCAATAGATGTATGCAGTTCCATTTAAAGACAATCATTTCCCCCTTATTGTTACATTCCTTAACAAAAAATTAAGTTAAGTCCTTATGTCAAAAAGTTTATAAATGCAAACTCAGTTTATCTGGATAATCTTTTTTAACTGCTTATCTTTTGCACTACTTACAAATTACAAAATCCATGCTCTCTCTCTTTCATGTTTTTTCAATGAAATTACCCTTGTGCAAATTCCATTCCCTCATTCATCCCATTTAGAGAAACAAAAAGAAATATCAAATTGCAAAATATTAACTGTAAGCAATTTAAAAAACAGACAGTAAATGATGGTTTTTAATTATTAATGTGTTTTTTTTCCTGTTTTTTTCCTATACGTTACCATGTAATTTGGCGTCATGCTGTGCAGTGAATGTTCTGCCATTGAAAGGTTCTTGATTATTAGTCAGAAATTATCAATGTTCCACCTTATGTTAAAAAGTATTCTCTGTATATTGCAGTGGCGGACCGTGCATTTCACACCTAGGCCTTCTGTAGAGCTCCGTCTGAATCAATTCACCCCTCAATAACTATTTTATGGTTATAGAAATCATCTTATGTAGAAATACAGTAAGGATGTCCCGATCCAGCTTTTTGTATTAAAGTTGAAAATTATTTTTCTACTTACTTAGTTGTCAGACTCATGTTGAACAGGGATTTACTCTTATAACAACTAAAGTTTACACAGACCTGTGGGTTACAGATGCTAATGCTAATGCTCGGGTGGGATCTGACTTTTTTTTAAAAATGGATCTGGAGTCTGGATCGGCAGTTTCTCTTGCCGGCCGATACGATCCAAATATCAGATCGGGACAAGCCTAAAATACAGTCTAAAGATCAGGGGTGCACAAGTCTTCTACTCCTCCAGCCACAGCTGCGACCCCCCCCCCCTTCCAAAAACAAACCAACAAAAACATCAATAATATCCTCATAAACTCGCAATACTATTTAGGGAAAAAAAACATTTTACTCACTTACTTTTCTTGAAAAGTCCGTTTTGAAAATGGTCTTGACAGTAAATCCGCCACGAAATAATAAAATAGCTATAACACAACTATATTTCGGTTTGTTTGCTAGCTTTGCCCTGATTGGATATCTGACTATCCATTCAGCGGGTGTGGATACGGTGACGTTACGTAAGGCCTTCGCGCAGGCCCTGGCATCACCAACCTAAAATCTGATTGGTTGAAGCAACAGTGTACTCAACATGTATTTTCTGTGGGGGGTGCCTGCAGAACGGATTGTGAAGGCCTCCAGGCAGACATCTTTGCCTTTGACCCTGCCTAGCGACAAAGGATGTCTGAAATGTGATTGGTTAAATGCTTTTATATGAAAATGCATGTCTGGAAGCAGCGCAACCAGGGGGAAAGCTATGAAAGGAAGCTGACAGACTATTTAGAGATATTTAATAAGTTTCCATGGACAAAATATAATTAACATCAGTCTGTGATTCAGATATTTTCTTAGGCCTGCAGAGAAGGCCTTGAAGGCCCTGACGGCCCACCACTGGTATATTGTTAAGTCTGTCTAATTGTGGTTGAATGTTGGTCTCCTCCTTTTTGCAACATTGGTTTTGTTCTTGGTGTTGGCAAGCAGATGTTTAACATAAGTTGTCTTAAGTTTCCATAAAGGTATGCTCATCAGATTGAGATTTGAACTTTGATAAGGCCAATGCTAAATCTGGATCCATTTTCTTTTCAGCCGTTTTGTTTTAGATATGCTGGCAATCTGAAAAATCCCCTGTTGCATTGCATTATTTGGGCCTATGTTTAGTTCAAGTCCACAAAACATGCTCAAAATTTTTCATATACAACTGTGGTCACTTTGAACCAGGTATTTGGACTGATATTTTTTGTTTGATTTGTACCAAATACCAGGCTGTACACTGTGCACTGTGGTCAAAATATTTGCCCTTATGGTCATGTTCTTACAAAGGAAATCATCCAAAAACTTTTTTGGCTTCTATTAGTTGAAAATTTGACTTTGGAATAAATTTGCTAAAACATTAATTTCTTAGGAAATCTTGAATGTTTCCACTTTTGCCAAATCTTTCTCCATTTTTAATATTTGTTATGGCTTTGGGGTGCTTTCCAAATTAGTGTTTGGCAACAGTTACTTTACTAATAATAATAATAAGTTCACTAATAATGTCTTTCCTACTTAGTATGGTGGTAACATACACCTAATTGTTGTATGTATTACCTTTTGTTTGAAGAGTATATAACACCTCTCTTTTAAGTGCAAGGCGACTATCTTTCAGAGTTATTTGGGACCCTTAACAGTTCTGTGAAATATGCAGCAGCTTTGAAAGGCAGAGAAATGTGTGCTGTCTTTCAGCAATGCCCACTCATTTTTATGTCAGCTCCTATCAATCTCCAGTGTTCAGTAAAAGACAAAAGAAAATCGCAATTTCTAAACACATAGACATCCAGACATATATGTATTAATTGATCTTACCTTTGTCATGTTATCTGATTTCTTACGATATTTTGTATTACAAATAAATATCTGATAACCATAACAAAATAAGTCTTGACATACTGTATACGATCTGTTAAATGGTCACAGTTTTAACCATTTGAGCATGTCAACCTTGGAAAAGTGATAATATACATTTGTTTACTTTACAAAACCATACAGTCTATCAATAAAAGATACACCAGGTTACAAAAAAATATGTTTGCATTTCCAGCTTGTCACATACTGCTTCATCATCAAAAGTCCCTCAAATTTGCTTGTCTGAAAGGCATACAGCCTAGAGTTGTTCATTTCTCTCAGCATGACATAGCTGTAGCATACAAGGTGTGTCTAAAAAGTAACGGAACTAGTATCACTAATTGTTTATTTAAATTTCAAACAACAATTTACATAGTTTCACCCTCAAAATAATGACACATGAGAATGCAAAAATGATTCTCTATGCTGTTGGGTTGTTTTCCAACAATGCAGTTTTATTTCAAATGGTTTTAATGACAGAGATGACTATTTTCCTGACTTTTTTCAGAGTGGTCTCCAAGGCATGGCCTTCAGGCCGTAGCATATAACTCTGTCTATCCTTTACCCAAAAACAGAAAACGTAAACAGACCAATTTGCAAGCATGTTAGAGAATTTGCTATTTATGACACTGTTACTCCTATACCTCTCTTAATTGCATTTTATTGCTTGAAATCTTGGTCAAGAATAATATTAAGGTATAAGCATACACAAGTGTTGCATGAGCACACACACTGACAGTGCAATCTTACTGAGACCAGGCACTTCCTGTTTGTGCATCCAGAAACACAGATAAGAAATATCATTACCACTGTGTCTCTTGTCACCATAATCCTGATGTACTGACTGTACTGTCTGTCTGTCTATTTATGTCTCTCTATTTTGTTTCTGATCTGTACCCACTTGAAACTAAAACTCTAGAAAAAAAGGTTGTCTGTTCCTGTAGATATTTTATGACTGTGATATCTAGGTAATCCCATAATTCTACAGTCCTAAAGCTATAATCACTCAACAAAATGGTGGGTAAACACTGATCCTTATGAGCACTTTTGCGTTTATTGTCAGAGAGTAATCCATTGTCACTTTATTTTAACTCAAATGCTTAAAGGTAATGACTCATCATTGTGACTGTTACAGGTAAATGTTTGATTTCTCATTTAACATGAACAATTAAATTTACTACAAACACTGTAAATGGGTATTATAAAGCTTTATCCGGATCATAAAGAGGTGCACTACAAACACAAATGCAACTCCAGGAAGACTATAAAGATTTTTTTCTCAGTATACTATGAGGGAAGGATGTTGGTTGAGTAGCTCATCTTAAAAATCATTTGACCGTTCCACTTTTTCTTCCTGTTCATCCAAGGCAATCCTTAATATGTGTGTGTTTTGAAATTTTATAGAGCAATAAAAAACCATGCAGGGCATATGTTGCTGTGTTTAGTTAAAGTAAACAGCCCTGTTTACTGTGGAAAGTTCCTTTAGTTTTAAAAGGACTGTGCTTTCAATTTTGAAAAAAGGGGGGGGAAAGCTATTTGAGGAAACAGCAGCTTGTGGTTATTAGGCTGATTCACGCACCTCATTATAGCATCAAAACCAACAGTGACACAAGTGGTATTTAGCATCTAATAATGCAAGTCAACCACAGGCACACAATTATTTGCTCTGTTGAGGAATACCATAGCAGATCTACATTTCTAAAAGTTGCTCACTCTATCCCTCACATGAGTAAACATTTGCCAGCTCCAACGGCTCAACATGACTCATAAAATCAGTACAACACTGCTCTACATCTTGAGACACAATTGCCTAAACAATACCATTGATGATGTGGAGGTTGGGACCATTGGCACCAAGCCAAACAAGCTTTTTAAGAGTGTGATGATTTTTTTTATTTCAACCCTTCTCTGTAGTGCACTACGAACAGTTTGATGGAATTGGTCACATGTTAATAAGTAAACTTTGTTTTCTGTCTTCCAGCTGTGAGCAAAGTGACCGAAAGGACAGACAGACATGGGGAAACAAAACAGCAAGCTCCGTCCTGAGGTGATGCAGGACCTGCTGGAGAGCACCGACTTCACAGAGCATGAGATCCAGGAGTGGTACAAAGGCTTCCTGAGGGACTGCCCCAGTGGGAACCTCTCTATGGAAGAGTTCAAGAAGATATACGGCAACTTCTTTCCCTATGGAGATGCTTCAAAATTTGCCGAACATGTCTTTCGCACTTTTGATGCTAATGGTGATGGGACTATAGATTTCAGGGAGTTTATCATCGCGTTAAGTGTGACATCACGCGGCAAGCTTGAACAGAAGCTGAAATGGGCCTTTAGTATGTACGACCTGGATGGGAATGGGTACATCAGTAAATCTGAAATGTTGGAGATTGTACAGGTGAGTGTCTTACAAAACAGCACTTTGAACTACTTCTTTCAAAAGTTTCTCGTGTTTAAAATACCAAATTATGAAAGCAGCGATAATGTTTCTGTCACATGGTGATCTCAGGATAGCTAGTTGGCCCTGAGCTTTAATTGATTAATATTAATTAATTGTAACATTAGCTAGGACAGTGATTGTTAAACACTGTTTTATTGACAGTGCTGCCACTGTATCCATAACACATGCTTTACAACACTTAAAAACGTATCTGGTGTTTTAAAATCATCGAGCTCCATAAAGACATGGAGCTGAATGTGCCTCCGCATAAAAACATGACTTCCGGGTGATATACTCCTTTCTTCTAAATGTATAGAGAAAAAGAATACTTTGTCCATCTTCTCCACATGCACCACTGAAACAAAGGAACCAAATCTGAATCACTTACTTTATAGTGTTTATGCCTTCTTTTGGCTTTTAGAGTTTCAGAGAGTATATTTGTGGATAATTTGCACATTCACACATCCTACATTGCTAAATGAGGCAAAAGTGTGTTAGATTTTAGCAGATAAAGGGATTATTCGTATGTTGGCAAAAATAACGATGTAATATTGTATGGTTTTAGTATAAACAATGCCAGGAGAGAGATTCTAACATGGTGAAAACATCCAGCATGTGCTTATCAAAAGAGGCACTTTTATATTTTTTTAAGAAGTCATATTGAAATTCTTGTGATGTTGAAAAAATGAGTCCCTGCTCATTTCACAATATTGATTATTTGTTTTTAAAAATGTATCTTACATGTTGCAAACATTTCTGAACTAATTAAAAGACCTCTGTAAGAGCATAGTTAAGCATAATACTTCCCTACTTCCTTGAAGAAAACTTCAAGGAAGTAGGGAAATGACAGATGCTATTTCCTGTGAAAATGTTTTTATGTAAACACACATTATGTAAATGTTAGGGGAAGTATGCACATCAGCTCAGATTTATGTAACTGAAGTTTGGATTACTAAACATATTTAAGCTTTGTTGTTTAGAATCAATAAAGGGGAATTTGTACATTGTACAGTTAAGTAAAAATCATTTGGAGAACATACCCAAGCCATGAGTTTGAAAACCTACACAATGGTGAAAATTTCCAGTATAGCTTCAGAGACTGGCAGAACAGGGTCACATTTTCAAAATATTTGCCGTTCAGATTGCCAGCATTTTAATAGTGTAATTTCCATAAATCATTTTAATTGCCATTTATACAAGTATAAAAGCTTAAAACCTGAGTAAATAAGCGAACATCAGACATCTTTCTGTGGCAACTACACTATAGTACCTCGCATGCACCCACCAAGACTTCACTTCAAGGCTTGAGCTGACTTCCTGCCTCAGAATTACCGTTATTCACACCTCTTCTGTAATTTCTCTCTGTAACATTACCACGTAAATCTTCTAACCACTTTCTAATAAATATGTAGTTGTTTGCAAAGACAGACCCGAAAATAATAGTCATTCTCTTGTTTGAGTGTTTACAGGCCTCATCACTTACAAGGAGAGTGGAAGGAATGTGTCAATGAGGCTGTCAAATATTACATAGCTGTGTTAACCTGAGAAATGTTTCCCTGCTAAATGAAGAATACAAAAAATACATTATTTTAATTGTAACTGCTGTACTGGTGTCTGTCAGTTAAATAGATACAGCGTAGACGGTCATTTCTGAACTGCAGTTTTAAAACAAACACAACTCTGAATAAATTTAAAGAGAAAAACATACCTATCAAACTAAAAGGTGCTTTTGTTACTATCACCCTCAAGATCATATTCATTTTGCACAGAAACTGTAAAATATCTGAATGAGAGACACTGTCATTATAAAGCTAATTAAACTTCGTTGAACAGGCTTTCCCCATTTTGAAAAACACGTTTGTATAAATACATGGTACAGTTTTCATAGGGGAATTTGTGACTTCATGACTCCTTCTAAGTTGTTGAAGGTGCCTTAACCTTACACATTATGGCCTGACTTTTCTATCAACTAACTTAATGAAAATGATCCCCTTAAACTATGTAAGACTGATTCCTTCAAGTCTATATACTCTACTCATTCACTGTGTTTGAATCGTTGTCTGACTTTCCTGCTTCAAAGCCACCTGCCTCTGCAGAGAAAAAGCAGGCTTGACTGACTCTTGAAAGTAACTGCTGAAAAAAAGAAACTGCTGGATTTAAAGTGAAGCCATCTGCAGCCTAATGTGATCACAGTATGTGCTTGTAGGCGTATCAGAGGGCAGATACGACAGATGATTCCCATAAAGCAACATTTATCTAGCTTCTGTTGAGTATCTGTGTCCAGGTTGTAATGACGACTGGCTAACAAAATCTATTCTCTGACCTCAGTGCTATCATGTTTTTTTATGGTCCTCTAAATTCATCTGGGGCCACTATCACCGAAAATTCTTTATCTTAATCATGATTGCTCTATTTTGTATTAACATGTTAATGCATACCATCACCTCATGTTAAACATCACCTGCTTATCAAAGCCTTAACATTTACCCTTTATCTATTATAAACTGTTTTAAAAAATTGTATTTTATAATTTATCTGTAGGAGGTTTTTTGATTAGTTAATTATTTTAGTAACCCACAGAAGTTAATTTGATTCCACACCACCTGAAATTAGTGACTTGTAAAGGTATTTGGATAACTAAATCCAAACCAGTTCATCTGGCTTCTATTTTTTGTATTTTGGCATTTGATATTATTTACTGTATATAATTTTACTATTTTTTTACTTGTATTTATTCTGATGTGCTTGGAATTGGAACTGGAGTCTAAATGGCCATACAAAAGCTACCAAAGAGCACCATGAAAATGTTCCTTATAGAACACCTGCAGGTACAACCTTAATAATTGTTCAGTTTTCTTTTAGTATTATTAGAATTATTACTATTATAATTATTTGTGTTATTATTATTCAGCAAGAAAACATTTGACTATTGAGTTTAGTGTCATTAACAGACTGGAGGTCTTTTTGTTATTCCTTTTTCTGATGGCCAAAATACTTTTTAAACACTCTAGGAAAACTATCAAGTACACTGACCTCTTATTGTAACCATTGCAATACAGTTTAGAAGTAATCAAAAATCTTTTTGGTGGTTCATATTCTGTGCATACTGTCTGCTACAGCTGGATGGCGGTTGCCAGCACTCGTCAGTGCTTCACCTGGAGGACACTGTCATTCCTCACATTGTTATATCCATGTTGTTTTTTTCACACTAAGCTCAACTGGCAGTGACAGGGAGCTGTGCCTTACTCTATCTAGTGAAGGCTCTCTCCAGCGGAGAGTGTGCAAATGCTGGTTATGCACATAATTAGCCTTACTGTGGGAGTAATTGAATGGGACAGATCACAACCAGCCTCACTCATTTTCAGATAATGGCAAAGTCTGAAAACAGACACAAAGATAAAAGTATCTCATCGACTCATTTGTAGTGGATTTTTAACCCCGTCTATCTCTAATCTGAGTACTGTGCTATCAACAGAATAGAAGAGGGTTTATTGCTGTGACTGGCCAATGAAGGGCAACTCAAACAGTGCTCAACTTACACTGTCAGAGCAAATAATTTGAACTCTCCCCCAAGTTGTGTTAATTTTTCCTAATATTGTCTTTCTGCGCCTTTTGAATTCCTCGTCATGTAAGGTGAACGTATAAACCAAAACAATATGCAAAGATATTTAATTTATTTAGATGCCATGTATTAGTCCATACCTCTGACTTAGGTATGATTTGTATTTTTCTTCACTTGGATGCAATTTCACTTCACTTGGATGTTTTGGCTTTACTGAAAATGCTTGTGTGTTCTTATCCGGAAGCTCCCAGCTCAAAAGACTTGGGAAAACTATGGTATTAATGTTGTAGAATAGATTCTTCTTAGACAACTGGAATGTAAAAGAAAAATAAGTATTTGCACACCCTGCTATTTTGCAAGATCTCCCACTTAGAAATCATGGAGTGGTCTGATATTGTCATCATAGGTGCATGTCTACTGTGAGACACATAATCTAACAAAAAAAATCCATAAATAAGTATTTGAACACCTGTCATGTCAGCTAGAATTCGGACCCTCAAAGACCTGTTAGTCCGCGTTCAAAATGTCCACCTCCACTCCATTTATTATCCTGAATTAGATGCACCAGTTTGAGGTTTTTGGCTACATAAAGACACCTGTGAACCCCATACAGTCAGTAGGAATCAAGCCACTAACATGGCCAAAACCAAAGAGCTGTCCAAAGACACTAGAGACAAAATTGTACTCCTCCACAAGGCTGGAAAGGACTACGGGGAACTTGCCAAGCAGCTTGGTGAAAAAAGGATTACTCTTCGAGCAATCATTAGAAAATGGAAGAAGCTAAACACGACTGTCAATCTTCCTCGGACTGGGGCTCCATGCAAGTTCTCACCTCGTGGGGTTTCAACGATCCTAAGAAATGTGACAAATCTGCCCAGAACTACACTACACTTCAAAGACCTGAAAGGAGCTGGGACCACCCTTTCCAAGGTTACTGTTGGTAATACACTGAGACGTCATGGTTTGAAATCATGCATGGCACAGAAGGTTCCCCTGCTTAAACCAGCACATGTCAAGGCCCATCTTAAGTTTGCCAATGACCATTTGGATGATCCAGAGGAGTCATGGGAGAAAGTCATGTGGTCAGATGTGACCAAAATAGAACTGTTTTGCCATGATTCCACTAACCGTGTTTGGAAGAAGAAGAATGATGAGTACCATCCCAAGAACACCATCCTTACTGTAAAGCATGGGGGTGGTAGCATCATGCTTTGAGGGTGTTTTTCTGTACATGAGCTAGGGCTCACTGCACTGTATTAAGGAGAGGATGACCGGGGCCATGTATTGCAAGATTTGACAAGGGAACAAGCTCCTTCCCTCAGTTAGAGCATTGAAGATGGGTCGAGGCTGGGTCTTCCAACATGACAATGACCCGAAGCACACAGCCAGGATAACCAAGGAGTGGCTCTGTAAGAAGCATATGAAGGTTCTGATGTGGCTTAGCCAGTCTCCAGACTTAAACCCAATAGAGAATCTTTGGAGGGATCTCAAACGTTCTCAGCGACAGCCCTGTTACCTGACTGATCTAGAGAAAATCTGTGTGGAGGAGTGGGCCAAAGTCCTACCTGCAGTGTGTGCAAACCTGGTGAAAAACTACAGGAAACATTTGACCCCTTTAATTGCAAACAAAGGCTACTGCATGTCTCTTGCAGTGGACATGCACCTACGATGACAATATCAGACCCCTTCCTGATTTCTAAGAGGGAGAACTTGCAAAGTAGCAGGGTGTTCAAATACTTATTTCCCTCACTGTATTGAATAAGTAATTACTGTTTGAGAAGATAAAAAAAATGTAAAAGCAATTTTTAATTGTTGGTTTTACATGAGAAGTAAAGAGAATACATAGTGGGAGGTGTGATGTTAGAAGGAGGTAAACAATCTAGGGTGGACAGACCAGATGGTGAGTTGTCGTTTGTGTTAAAAAAGAAAGCACCAAACTATTATATGATTACTGTCTAAGAATGTCTCAGAAGCAGTGCCCAATAATTCTGAGGCAGCTAGGGAATATCCTCATTGCGTCAACAGGTCCAACACTTTTTGACCTATATTTAGGTTATTCTGTGAATGCAAATTGCCATTAAAAATAGCGTGACTGCTGTCAGTTTAAAGTTATTATGAAATATATGGCATGCACTTAACTGCTGTTATTCCTAGCAAAGCCCACTAAGACACGATTGGTTAGTGCATCTCAGACCAAATAAAGACTACCAACGGAAAACCAAAAGTCTCCAGTTCTCAGAGTCATCAATAAAAGTCGGTATGCCAAAAGCATGTTAACCAAGAAACTAGACAAAACTGTTGCAATAAAGATTTTTTTTCATTTTGGAGCTACACACTCTCTAATAAGGAGAGCTCAGTGTTAAAGAATGCTGCAATATGGTTTCCATTTTACCATTGTTTTTCGATAATTAATGAAGCATCAATGAAAAAATTATTTGAACATGCACATCTTTCTTTTGATGGATAAGATTCGTGGCTAAATTTTTGGCATGTAATATTGGCCAAGTTGAGTAAAATTCCTTCTAAAGGACTTCCAAAGGATTTTAGACCAAGCTTCAAAATGAAATAATATCTGAAATTAACTGTCACTACTGCTTGTTGCTTGGCTCCACTTTGACCTGGAACCTGAGGCATGGAGCTACTACGCAATAGCCAGCATAATCAGTACCTTTATAAAGCTCTTGCTGAACTTTAATCACAATCAGCCCTCCTCTGTTCACATGTCAGCTCCTATTCCCCTCAAATACGCCTCCTTATTAGAGACAGAGAGAGTGGGCTGGGATTTCACTGTTTACTGCCAAACAGCCTGCCATGCAGCATGGAGCAGAGGAGACACAACACTGATAAATAGTCTGCAAGGAACTTGTGTATGTACATATGTTTGTCTCCAACCATCCCCACCTAATTCATGTTAAATATAAATCACTTGGTTTATATAAATATATATGCATCATATATATATGTGTATATCTAAATCTATCTCTATCGCTCTCTCTCTCTCTCTCTCTCTCTCTCTCTCTCTCTATGTATATATATATATATATATAAATATATGTATATTTTAATTTTAAAGGAATATACAAGACACAATTGGACAAATTTAAGCTACTTTGCAAATTGTCTCTGGGAAAGGTTAATTTGATATTACTCACCGGTTGTCGGAAATGGCAAGCATCATTCCCATTTATTTAATGAATATCTCAGACATTCTTCATGATAAAACTGGTACCAGAAAAGGATTTTAATTTTTTCGTGCTCAATTTTTTTGCTTATTCACTTTTCTCTTTTGTTTCTTTTCCGAAGATAAGTACTTACTAGCAAATAGAAAGCTAGCCATTGATGAAACCTCTTTCACAAGTTTCACAAAAAAAATGTTTGTACGTAAGGATGATGTTTCATTCCTGGGAACTACTATTAACATGATAACACATTCTAGTTTGTAACCTCCATGTATGTCTTTGTGTAGGCTATATATAAGATGGTGTCATCTGTGATGAAGATGCCTGAGGATGAGTCCACACCTGAGAAGAGGACAGAGAAGATCTTCAGGCAGATGGACACTAACAGAGATGGTAGGTTAGCCTCATTTTCTACCAGGAGTGGATTCAGATTTAGTTTTATCATTAGATTTAACATTCCAGATTAGTGGATGGGACAAAATAGGTGAAGATCCAACTGAGCATCCTGCTCCAGGAAAACAGAAAGATTTCACACAATATATATATTTTTTTTATGAAGACAAAGCACATCTATGAAATAGATATGGGGCGCTTCTAGAGAGGCTGACCCACAGTCTTCTCAGAACTGTATGTCTATGTGTCTGTTTTTTGTATGATCTTGGACGGGCTGTACAGTAATCAGAATTTCCTGAAAGAGCAATTCCATGGGATGAATAAAGCTGAGTCTAAAGTCTAAATAGAACCGGCCTGGTTTTTCACAAGTGCTCAGCCTGAATGAACTATTCTCTTGCAAGATAATTTATTTACAACCTGAAAAAAACTATTTGTAAAAGAATATGAGATGTTCCGTAAACTTAAAAAAGAAAGTCATGATTTTAAAGTAGTGGCTCTGAGAGAGATGCTCACCAATAATAGGTTGAAATGATTTTCTGATAATGTCAAAGATTAAGATTAACTTTTAGCTTTATTTGATGCTGTGACATACATCTACAAACCATTTAGAACATAAAGTTGGTCAATCCAATGTGATAACAAAGCAAAAGATACTGATATGGATGTAAGCTTAATCATTCAAGCATCAGTTTTTAGTCCAAACTGAGAAATCAATCTTGTTGATTTTGTGGCAGCACAGCTCTCATCTGTATTATTTATCCTCTCACTCAGACCCTGTTTGCACAAAAGGGTAATTTGTTCAGAGAGAAAAATTATTTTTAAAAAGACGGAAAGAAGGTGGAATCACATCCTCTAAGTCAGTGAACACATTACCATACTGTCGTGATTTAGACAATCAGTTTATCAGTTTTTCAGCTCATAAAGCTTTCATGCACTGTGACATATATAATCTGTGTAGTTCTTCACTGTTGCACTCAATGATTTGATGGGTGCATTTGTCCTACAGGCAGCACACATAAATATTTTGTTTAAGCTTGGATCATCAATTGCAGTGTGGATTGCAGTGAACTTACATGATGACTACACATTGTGTATCACTTAGTGCGCATTGGAAGACTTTTGAGCAATTCATCACTTGATGTTCAAATGTGATTAAAAGCACAACATCAAGGTAATCATTGTTTTAATTACATTTTATTAAATCCATGCCAAATAAAAGCAAAGACACTTAAAAGATACAATCCAATTCAAAGCAATTATCCAGTTCTTTGTAATCATAATCCAATCAAATATAATCAATTAAATTCCAAATTAGTTATAAACATTCACTTCAAAATAAACTTGCCAAGCAAAGGAAAACTAAATTCTGCATCAAAACCTCAGGAAAGGGGATTGGATTCTTATCACGAGGTTTCAGTGAAAGCTTGAGGTATCTTAAGCATGCACAAGACAACAGTTGAAGGAAATAAACCCCTTTCAACAGGAAGAAACCTCTGGCAGGACCAGCCTTAGGGAGGGGGCCATCTGCATTGACAATCTCTGGTTAATAATAGTTTGTGACAATGAATGTCATGTAAAGAGAACAGGGTTGGAAGGGTGCATCATGGGAGATTCCCCTGCAGTCTAAGCCTATGACAACATAACTATGGGATGCCTAAGCATCACTTGAACCATTACCTAACTATAAAGTTCAGTTAAATGGTAAAATTTTAATCCTAATCTAATCTAATTGTGTGTCTGCTTCCTGGATGCCAAATGTCTACCATTATAATCTCATTAGAACATTTGGGTCCAAGTGACATCAGTAGCTTTCATGTCTGTGAAGAGGCCATTGGTACTGAATGCCAAAAATATTTCACTTGCAGAAATAAAGCGACTTGGCATATTCTTGTTTATATAGGACATAAACTTTCTATTTTTTATGATATAAAATGTTGTCAGATGTTTTCCTTCCATTTAAGTTGTTTAATTTGCTCTGCCATGCTACACTCACTGAAGAGATTGAGCTGTTGAACAAAGATTTACAGTTGACTGGAAAGGTGGGGCAATGATAGATGGTTTCGGTAGAAAGAAGAGGAATAAAGACATCAACATAGAGAGTGCTGACTTGTATCTAGAAGTGTGTTCTATTTATTTTCTCATGTTGAAGACAAACGCCAGTAGCAAGCAGCTGCCCTACATGATTGTCTGTGAAGGTATTCAGAAAAAAAAGAAGCCCACACAACACTACCACCTGCTGGATAGTGAATCACAATGCGATGAGAAGCTCTTTTAATAAGAGAATCACAAAAAAGTAATTCTATCTTCATAAGACGTTTACCAAACTTTGCCCATTCTTTGTGCTCAGTGAGTTTCAGGGAAATAGATTAAGAGATTTTTTATGACTTATGACCTAATACTGGCAGATCAGTGTAATTATACATAAAACATCAAATAAAGAACTTAAAACCAGTGTATTAAAAATTATGGACTAAATAAACAGTATTAGTTAAATACTAAAACATATGGTAACTGCTCAGTTGCTCAAACTCCTTCAGTTTTCCCCTGTCCACTGAAATTACCAAAAGATAACTTTAACATCTTGATTTAAAGCTGGTCTTTATTTACCTTACAGGCAAGTTGTCTCTGGAGGAGTTCATCAAAGGGGCAAAGAGTGACCCCTCCATCGTACGCCTGTTGCAGTGTGACCCCAGCAGTGCTGGACAGTTCTAAACTTGAGGCATCAGCGCAATTTGTAAGTCTCATATTCAGCAAATTTTACAAAGTTCACTTCAACTTCTATTTTTCTGCAGTAAAGTTTAGGTTTGTAAAGTCATGCAAGTCTTACTGATGTAACAGATGTTAGCTGAGGTGGAGCTCTCCCAAAGTTCATTCTCCCACAAATAGTATAAGAGACTTTATAGGTGGCCTGGTACTTTAGAGTAATTATTGAGGATGTTGATGCTCAGAAAAGCTTCCATTTTAAGTCCTCGTGTGGAAGATATGGATGGGCTATAACAGTAATTGCAGTCTGTCCTCTCTAATCTTGTCCGCCTTAGCGGAGAAGTAAAGTTTTATTTGGAAAGTATGGCTAGATTTACTACCCTTACACATATTAGGATGTGGTATGATGAATGGACCAAAATAGTAAGAGAAAAAACTAAACATTAATTAATTTAAACCTAAGTTGAACAGCCTACTTTACATAGAGTTCAGTATTTCATTAGTTTGCATTAACTTTGATATTTCTCTCAGAATTGTGAAAAGACAGATACTCACTGGTTAGGCCACTGAAAGTAGAAAGTTTCCTACAAGGGCTGGTTCTCTGAGCTATGCCTTTAGGTCTTGCTGAGGTTAATTGAAGCATTCTGTTACAGAGATTAAGACTGAAATTGTGATATGATGTTCTGTTACTGTCGCGGTGACCAAAGCCAAGATTATGAAAGTGATGTCTTACTGACTTATAAATCAACCTACCAACAGTGCATGTATGCATGTGTAGTTTTTAGAGATAAACTAAAGGGCCCACAATGTGCAATTTTCTAGCTGTGAGTTTGTTGAACAAGGATACATTCATCAAGCAAAGCCCATCAGTAACAATCAGCTTCACGTTCTGCAACAGTTCATCATAATATTAAAGACACTTTTAAAAACTAATACAATATATCATCCATAATTCAAACATATGAGGTTCAGTATGTGATGAAAGTGCCTATCATATTAACATCAATCTGGCTAATCTGATTCCTTTTTCTGCATTTTTATCTTCACAGTGTTAGAAACTGTAACTCTCCACTATGGAGCAGACTGATGATGAAACAAAGAGATGATGAGAAGACGATGAAGAAGTCAAACCTTCAAAATGAATCAGAGGACTTTCAAAGATGGGATTCCGTCACCTACCCCCTAAAAATCATGTATCAAAACCCCTCCACACTTCAGCAAAGACTAACGTCTCATCAACGTAACCAGCTGCTCAGAGTGCAGTCAAATTCCGCAGTTTCTCTTATAAGCATGTTAAAGGATAAAGAGGGTTTACAGTGGGTTGTATATATACAGTATAAACTGGAGTCTCCGTAACAGTGTCTTATCTCTCTGTGCTCTGAGGTTCCAACCAGGGCCACTCAGAACTGCTTTCACTCTACGTATGACAAGAGTGTTTGCATGAGACTGAGAGAGGTGTAATGGCGTTGTGTAACTGTACTCTGTAGATGAAATTGTTTAATCTGCAGAGGACCTCTGGATTTTGTCCATCAGCCAGACAGAGTACTGCTTTATGTTTCCTCTTTTCTACTGTGAGAATCTGTATAGGTCTCTGCAGATTTGATAGACCTTGTTTATATTGTACTTGGGTAAAAAGAACATGTAGAATTATGCTACTATGCATACGTGCCCTAATAAGTAGTTTGAATCAGTGAAGTCTCAATGATGTAATGAAGGATGAAGCTCTTCCCTCTTTCGATTATCATTTTCGGTGTATTTTTGTTTTTTCATATCAGTGACAACAACAGAGAAAGTGTTACAGCACTCTAGCTTTTAGAGTAGTTTTTTCAAGTATTTGAATATAGTGAAGATATTTTAATGTGAGCCTGAAAATGTTAGATAAATCCATATTATCCTGGATAGAAAGCAATTTCTGTTCAATCACTATAACTGAAATATTGTTTTTTATTTAAGCTGTTGATGAATTATCTAGCATGCAGGCCTGCTTCTTCGTTGACTTCGACTTTGTGAAAAACAAAGATCAACTTCCTTGCACTCACTTTTATGTGTCTTAAGTGATGCATGTTGAATAGGTTTCTGGGTACAGAGGTGCATAGACTAACATAACACTTATGCATGTGACTTAACTCGCATGGGTGTTGTTTTTTAATGTAACTCTATCTAGTCATGCTGTTGCTCACCCATCAATGTAGGCTTCAGGGTCTCACAAAAGTGAAAAAGACGATTCACCTCACGTTTAAGCTCTATCTCTATCTCCTTATTGTCATTTTTAGTTTGGTTTAGGGGTCCATTTAAAAACTTAAAGAAGAATCCAATTGACAAGTAGCAACTCTCTTTATTTAGCTATTTGTTTTCCAATGACAAAAGGTTTGATTGTTTTCCGGAATGTATATATATATCGAGACAGAGAGAGAGAGAGAGAGAGAGAGATAGAGAGAGAGAGAAATAGATAGATATAGATATAGATACAGAGTGAGGAAAATAAGTATTTCCCCATAGCCCTTTCCAGCATTGTGGGGGTGTAAAACTTTAGTATCTTTGGACAGCTCTTGGGTTTTGGCAATGTTAGTTGTTGGATTCCTACTGATTGTATGGGGTGCAGAGGTGTCTTTAAGCAGCTAACGACCTCATACTGGTACATCTAATTTAGGATAAGAAATGGAGTGGATGTGGACATTTTGAAAGGGGATTAACAGGTCTTTGAGGGTCAGAATTCTAGCTGATAGACAGGTGTTCAAATACTTATTTACAGCTGTATCATACAAATAAATAGTTTAAAAAATCATACCTTGTGATTTCAGGACTTTTTTTTAGATTATGTCGCTCACAGTGGACATGCACCTACAATGACAATATCAGACCCCTCCATGATTTCTAAGTGGGAGAACTTGCAAAATCGCAGGGTGTTCAAATACTCATTTTCCTCACTGTAGATAGATAAATCATATTCTTTCGAAACAAAAACTGATGTTACATTTCCATTCAAACTGCAAATTGTGATCAAGTGCCAAAAACAGTGTTGTAAAAAAATTATACTGTATATTGTTATGTTGAACAAAATGTTTGTAATTGTTGAATTTTGTAGGTTTTTGTATGGTATTCTGTAATCCGTGACTGCAGTTGTGGAGGACAGGATTCTGTTTTTTGGTCAATTTAAAAGGCAAGAATTAAATTTCTGATTAATTGTGTGCAAGTATTCATCTGACGTGTTTAAGTGGTTTGACAAGTTGCAATTTCAATGTACCAGTATCCATCCAACCTGATACACAACAGAAATAGTGCAGCTCAGCTTGTTCAAATCTGTTCCAGTTTGCTCCCATTTCCTGCTAGATTCCATGGAAATGTAATTGTTTTCATTAGATTCTATAAAACTTTTACTTGATCCCTGCTTTTCTCAATGATTTAGTATACTGTATAATGTCACCCTTTTTTAGATCAAGAGAAGCTCGTCACTCGTATTTGATCCTATCATCAGTAATGTGGTTAATGATGGTCAAGGACAAAAACGATCATGTTATGATTGATTCACTGATGCTCATTATGCCTTAGTAGATACAATCTTTATTGAGTTCTCAGGCAATTAAAGAAATCTGGGTCTGTATAATTTTCCTCGTGATATACTATACATTTGGAAAGAAAGTGGCAGTTTTAATCGGTTTCATGGGTTAAGGTTAAAACATGAACGTGTTATATTACACTTTGGCCATGATAAGCAGCCAGCAAGAAGAAGCAAGTTAACAGACATTAAAACAGGAGTATTCATGTTTATGAAACTACATCAGTTTTAGTCATTACCTCAACTCTTGTCCTAAGTTTGGTATGGGACAGTTCCCAAATGCCCAATATTTCAAGGATACATTTCTTGTTCTATTATATTGGGATGGATTGCAGATTTTACACAAACAAATATACGTATATATTTTCTTGGTGGCCCACTGTATATATTACTTATGTGACAGTACTGATCCGGATTACTTTTAACTGAATCTAATGATATTCTAGCTTGTGGTTTTGAAAAATTACCACCTGGACAAAAGTGAAGAACCAACATTAACATATTAATTCCTAGATCAAAATTATCCAAACTTTGTCTTTTTCGATTTCATATCACATGTAATGTCAAATGAAGCCCACTCTTAGTTTGCAGAATGTGATCACTGTGAGTTCCAATCACAGTGTGAACTATTCTCATGCAAATAATGATCTGGATTACTTCAGTTGCGGATGAGAAGGATTTAACATGAAGTCTTTGTGGTGATGTAAAGGCAAGTTGGGACAGCTTTCTGAGGGGCCATCTTTGCATGAGTTTGCTTCAAGTAGGAGTTCAGTAAACACAGTTCCTTTTAAACAATCTGCTTTCTTTATAAATACATCTCCAAATGCAGCCTTGCTAAGAAGCATGTTGGGTTTGTTTTTAGGTATTGTGGCTTTGATGGAGAGTTAATTTTCTAACTAGTCACCACAGAAAGCCATGCTACTACATAGGATATCCCAAAATGTTCCTGTCATTTATGGGTATTTTTTCCCATATTATTATTATTTTAATTAATTCTAGAAGCATATATACTAAAACAGATTTACCATTGGGAATGTTGATATTTCTTTAACCCTGGATTTCTTCTGATACATTAACTGGAGTATGAAAGTGCATGATGGGGAAAAAAGCCCCGTCTCACCTCTAACTCTAGAAACTAAAAAGTGGTGCATGAATGTGAGTTTAAATGAACATATCTTGTGAAAAAGTGCTATGAAAAAGGAAACAATTGCCTTAATAGAAAACTATATTTATTGGCTAAATTAAAGCACTGTGCATTATGGTGTATAAAACATAAAGGATACAGAAGCTGCTGGTGAATTGGGCATAAACACAAACATGGAGGTGGAACAATGTATTCTTCTATTGAACGCTTTGTTACTGCCACAGAAATGTGTTCATACATATGAAACTTTTGAGCACTCTACTAATGTCATAAATACTAAAGATTACAGTCTTTCTTTCCAGTGGAAAAACAATCTGGGCACAATACTAGTAAATCATGTCATCTTAGATTCCGAGGCAACAATGTTTATTAAAACCTTAGATAAGCATTTATTCACTGGTAAAATTTGGAAACTTTGGTATGTTAAAAAGGAAAAAAAATCATTAAAAGAAACACACTAATAAAGGCTTGAACACATTATCTTTTACACATATTAAGTAACCAGAGCAACTTTCCAGAAGCATCAACAAATACTTACAAACACATCAAAACAAAGAACCACACTAATTGTTGATTTGTTTAGGAGCAAAATTTGTTTTGCAGACATGTGAAACAAGAGTTTTTAATGCATGCAATCAAATCATTTACATCTACTACCAGTAGAGACAATGGAAAGAACGACAGGAGCTTTGTTTTCTTCTACTGAATTAGATCAAGCTTTATGTTGATATTGATAACACTTGTACTAGTAGAAGATGGATTCAAACAAAATGTTAGGAAAGTTGTTAGGTAAGGGTCAGAAGACATTAACACGCGTTTTCAACTCAACACCAAAATCCTTGGATTTCAATCTTTCCAAAGGCAAAAATTCCACCTAAAGCAAGTTGTCTGTTCAACATAATTTTTTATCAGATGACGCAGATTTCTTTTTCCCTGCTGGGAGGAATTTAGCCAGTATCCGATGGAGTGCTGCAAAACGTAATGAGACAAACATGTGCAAAGCCTTCAGATAATGATGCCTGGTGGTCACTTTTTAATTGTTAAATTGTTTGCATTTATTATGTCTTTGTTGGGGTTTTTTGTTTTGGTTATTTTTGTACACGGCTTGCCACTGCATCATGTAACATCGTCATGTAACAATCATCCACTCTGTTTGGGCAAGGAGTCAAGTCATGACTGCTGCATACGGTAATGCAGTTGGTATGGGTCAAATCTCTGAGAGAGTTATGTGGAAGAAGTCGGATGAACTGTCCATAGCAAGGATAAAGGTGTCTTCATTGGAGTAGTGCTGGATGATGTTGTCATCCATGTTTACAAGGACTCTAAGAACAACAATATACATATATAATACAGTATACATATATTATGCACATATATAACATATACATACACACACACACACACACACACACACACACACACACACACACACACACACACACACACACATACAGTGGGGGAAATAAGTATATGACCCCTTGCTGATTTTGCAGGTTTGCCCACTTACAAAGAATGCAACAATCTATAACTTTAATCATATGTACATTCTAACAGTGAAAGACAGAATCCCAAAGAAAATTCCAGAAAATCACATCATATGAATTTATAAAAATTAATAACCATCTGATGAGGAAAAATAAGCATTCTGTAAGTGGGCAAACCTGAAAAATCTGCAAGGGGTCAAATATTTATTTCCCCTACTGTACATACCGGTACATACATACATGCATAGATATAGCCCGAGCTAAATTATTTTTTAAAAGAATGGCAGCTGTTACAAACACATTAAACACTGCTTTCTAATTATATTTATTTTGGTGGAGTTTCTTACCCTTTTTTGCTTTTCTGGTAAACCTTGGCCATCTTACCAACAGGCAGAGAGTATTTCTCTGATATCTGTAAACAGATTCACCTTACATGTTTAGACAGCCTATCACTATTCCCAAAGGTTAGATGACTGAAAATCAATTAACTATGTGCTATTTTTCAATATATATATATATATATATATATATATATATATATATATATTAGGGATGGGACGGTTTCTGAAAACCGTCTGAACCGTTCGGTTCGACTGTCTCGGTTCGGTTCGCGTGTGTACCGCACGGTTCATGCACTGCTCCTTTTTCTCAGAGGGAAGCGTGTTCACTCCAGAGCAGAAGGGGGCGCTACTGCACCCAAAGTCAACCACCAGTAG